AAAAGTTTATGGAAGTTTAAATTGAACAGTAAATTAAATCATACTGTACATATATTTTTTATTTTATATAAATAATATATTTTATAAAATATTTTTTACTCTAAAATTTTCTATAAAATCAAAGCCATACATCTTATCAAGTTATGTTCCAAATTTGAAGTTGATATCACAAAAATTGAAGTTCCCATGAGATTTTGTTTAGGCGTAGTACCAAAAATAGCCACCGGGTGCCATTGAATTCCATTGAATTTAGTTGTATACATTCTGCCTTAACAAATTAATACATTTCTGTCCAAATATCAATTCTGTCACGAAATTTGGAACCTTGAGACTCTGACCTTTCTGACAATATCAGTTTTGTCAAGATTAGAAAAGGTTTTGATCATAAATTATGAAATATAATGATGCCCAAAAGGGGAGGAGCCTGATAAAATAAGTACCGTTTCTATGGTAACGCAACTTTCAATTATAAAACAGTTTTCACACGATGAATTCTGAGTTTATAAGCTTTCAAATGATACCTAATTTATGATAACTACTAAAATATGTGATATAATAAAAAAAGGCGATAAAAAATAATATTATATTTTAGAGGATAATAAATATAAATATTATCATTTTTAGAGGAAAATATTGTACTATAATTTTTTATTTTTATTGAAAAATACTAGATTATATGTTTATTATGAACTTTTAGCATAAAAACAAAAGTTTCAATGATTAAAAGTGGGTTCATCAACTTTTTGTAACAAAGGTCAAAACTCCTTTTATGATGCAGATTTTTTGAGGTGCACTCTTGTCATAAATTCATCAATTACTCTTCCTACATAATTTTTAACACAAAACAGGGGTAGAATATCTATTTAGAAGTCTTAGACCTTTCCAACAATGTATAATTTGTCATAATTAGATTAAGATTTAATAGAAATATAGTGAAGTAAAGTTGGGCGTCCCGGTACCGGGACGGTGACAGTTAAGGGGTAAGCCAGAGGTTTGTTTCAGATAATACAATTAATACTATTTGTTCTATTCTATAATGCTTAAATTATTAAAGGGATCATGAACTTGCTTTTTAATTTTTTTCGAGGTAGGCATCTATGTTATTTAACTATGCGAGAAATGTGCGAATCGGTGGGCGGGGCTAAACTGGTCGTGTTGAAGTAGGCATTGATCTTCTTCTGTGGGGGTGGTGTTTTATCCTCTTTGTCGTCATAGTTCCCCACTTTGAAAAACGAGTCGTTTGCTGAGCCTGGTGTCAATTAAAGCTTTTATTGGACTAACAAGGACGTTTTCAGTTTTGAATCTTACAGGATATTCTTATAATATGATGACCTCTTAGATGTCAAAAACTCAAGGAAAATTTGATTTCTCAGTTCATCACCCCTTTAATAGAAGTATTTGGTAGTTTTCTGTTTGTTAATTGTTACAAGCCTTGGAACGAATCAAATCATTCATGAAAGGGTCAAATAAGTTTCCAAAAAATATTGTTTGCTATTCAGTTTGATTCAGAGTTCACTCACTCGCTGAATCATAGTTTCTCACACCATAATTTTAGAAGACAGAAAACACTGGATGAGGTGATATTTATCTATGAGTGCTAGACGAGGTATTACCTAAAATCCATTGTATGAAACAAAACTTGTAAAGACAGTTTATGTCAATATATCCAAAACAAAACAAAATTGGTTTGGGCTTGTGCTTCAGTACCGATGAAAGGCTAAATGCTCCTGCCGTGAACTTTAGGGAAACTCATCTCATTCACAACAATGCGAGACAAATTAAAGGTAGGCAAAAAGAACCTGCGGTCCCTCTTGTGTCTTTACCTACTAACTTATGACAATGCTACCAGTTGACAATGCTCTTATCATGTACATATGTTTGTACATTGTACTTATATTTTAAAAATACCTTGTAATCAAGTTCTGTAACAACATCTATAATTACAATGATTCAAGGAGAGGTAATTTTTATTTATTTTTTTAAACACACATCCGATTCAACTTATTCATTTTTAATGAGCGGTATAGGCACATGTAAATACAAAGAAATATAAATGAAAATTATAATGAATTGTTGGTTGGGGGGGGAGGAAATAATTCTCTTACCTTGGCACGTGTACAGTATGCCTGCCAGTTGAGTTCTGCATCAGGCAAGACACTCAGTGCCATGTTACAGATACCTAAGGCCATCTCCAGTTTGCCTGACAGGAAGAACACGTCCGTTAGCCTGTTGAGCGTGAATGCATCCTCTGTGGCGAGCTTAATGGCCTGTGAAAATCAGCAGTGAGAATCTAAGCATTTAAAGCCTTGACACTTTATAGTTACTCACAAGGTATAAGTATTTTCAGTTTGTCAGCTAATGTAACCAAACAAGCCTAAACTCATCTTTCTAACACCTGTGTCAAGAAACAACAAAGTTACACGTCATGGAACATGTTGTGGATACAGAGAAAGCGTGTGCAAATAACCTCAAGACTGAAATCTGAATAGCTTGACCACAATAAAACATTCTACATTTTTTCTAGCCTGACATCCTTACCGATCCATAACATGTCAAAGGGTCAGATCCAGAGAAACCACAGTCATGGACTGACATTGGCACAGTGGAGAACTCCTCCGTCCGCTCCAGCATGAGACCAACATAACACCAGGCCATGGCTAGAGAATAAAAAGAGATATATAGACATTGTCTTAATGATTCCTTGACATTTGAGATCAGGACACTGATAAGAAGACATAAAAAGCCAAGCGTGACATGTGGCAACATAAAACTAGAAAAGCTGGTCTGTGAAACCTTTTACTTCTCCTTTTATGTAGTTTTTTGTAGTTGGTACTCCATTTTGATTAATGGTATCATCAGTGTGCTTTATTAAAATAACAATAAATCCAATCTTCATCATCATAATGTATGGAAATTACCTTTGAGATGTGTGTTGTCAGATTGTAGAGTCTCTGTGAGAAGCTTGAGGCCCTTGTTGAAATAGGTCAGTCTTGTTAGGTCAGTGTCGTTTGAATCCCTCACAATTCCATCTAACCTATTAAAACAAACAAACAAAGGTAGAGATCAGCCTATTAATGTTTAAGTTCATGATAAGGAATGTCTAAGCTGACTCAAATGCTTAGATGTGTAGTCAGATGTTGGATGATGTGGTAAAAATGAAGCTAAACAGGAAGGTGTTGAAAATACCTTATGTAAATTGTTGCCATTTTGAAGTACCAACTTCTTTTTTCCTCTATTGGGATCTGTAAAAAATAAAACAACAGAACAATGTTACACACTAAAACACTCCATGTACTGTGTTCATTCCTGCCACAGGTGTTTTCACTGTATTTTGAGCCTTTTACAGTTAGCCTATTTTGTTTGTTTATTTCATTTAAATAAAGTTTTATTTTGATTGTTATCCGGTTCCTGCCTCCTCCTTCCCTGAACCTTGCTACATATACTTTATCAATTGACCTTATGCACAGATGCACTACTTCCTGAACTTAAGCCAGCTCCTTGTTTCCTGTCTGTCATTATTGGCCAAATTGATTAATCCAGGTGTGCCTGACCTCAGTAGTCACGGCAACAATAATCAGACACACCTGAATGAATCAAGTTTGGGCAATAATGGCAGACAGGAAACAAGGAGCTGGCTTAAGTTCAGGAAGTAGTGCATCTGTGCATAAGGTCAATTCAATGACAATGTTCAATGATAGGACAAATATTTGTCTATCTATATCTATGTCAAAAAATGCATTATAAATGCAATTTAGACATACAATTGATTGTACACATCTCTGATGAGTAGATTTGAATTTATAAATTAAAATTAATTTGGGTATTTTTGGAAGGGGCATTAGTAAAAATGACGACAACTGTCATAACATCAAAGAAAACGCCTAGTTTAAAATAAAAAATGAGGACCCAAGCAGACCCTCATGACTTTGTCAAAGTCTATAAGTCTCTTAATATATCAGATAATATTTTTCAGCCAAGTTTAGTTATAAAATATCATATGCGACTCCCGAAAAACTCAATATGTACACTAAAAAAATAATGCTGTGATTATTTATCAGTATCACAACTTTAAATTCAACATTAGAATAAGAAATAATGTGTTGTTTCAACTTAAAGAACTGTTTTGTTCTTGACTTAAATATTAAGTTTAGTTAACTTCAGTGTAATTGTATATTTAACCCTTGTATGGTGTTCGGGTCTGTTGGACCTGTTTTCATTTTTTACCAAAAGAAAAATTATACGATTAATTATTTTTTTCAAACTCAGACTCATTGGCCTTGGCTCATTTTATGTGAAGAGCAAAGAACACATTTTCAGTAAAAACACACTCTGTACACCCCCCACAAATTTACATTACACACAGGATGTTCGGATCCAATGGACCCGACTAATAAGAGTGTAGGTCCTGTGTACCTTTACTCTGTCCTCCTCCTGTCAGTGTGTGTGTGTGTGTGTGAGAGAGAGTGTGTGAATTTTGTGTTTCTGCACCTGCCGTTCCCACACAAGGTCACAACATTGCTGCCAAATTCAAGCACGGCCACCGCCTGCTCTACCAGTCCCGCAGATTTTACCCTCTGTCTTTTAATTCTTAAATATGATCTAACAAAGGTAAAGAGAAAATATTAACCATATATGCTGTTCATATTGCTTGTAATTGGGATGAAGGAAACATCTGTTGAGTATTTTAACATAAAGTTGTTATTGTTATCCATCAGACCCACGAACACTGCTGAATAACAAAAATATGAACACCACACAAGGGTTAACATCTCAAATTTGAAGTTGTTATAACTTTTTGTAGCAACATATTTTACAGTTAATTATTAACTTTTTAAAATAAAACTGACTCTCCTTCAAGATATCTACGTCTCCCTGAAAATGTAATGTGCTCACCAGTTCCTCTCCGTAGTCGAGTGCACGGTTGTAGGACATAAGCGCAGCTGTCAGTCTCTCCCGTAAATCTTCGTCCCTCTCCAGCTCCACGTCATGAGGATGTACATACGCCTGTTCAGCCAAGCATCGTGCCACCCTGAGCCTGCAGTCTGTCTGGTTATCCCCCATCTCTTGCCCCATGAGGGCAGCCACACGCTCCATGCACTCCCCCTCTTCCAACTCTCGACCCAGGCGTTCGTATACGTAACCCAGGTTGGCCCAGGCGTTGAGGTTTTCCGGATCCTCTTGGCAGATGCTGTGAAAGGTCTCTTTTGCCATCTCTAGTTCATCCATATGAAAGGCCAGCAGGCCCAGAATATTGCGGATGGCAAACTGTAGTTGTCCCGTCTCAGCTTCGAGCTCAGCTCTAAGGCTCTCACACTTGAGCTGGGTGTCTCGGTGCCGAAGTGTGGCTGGTCCATTGGGTTCACCATTCAGATTCAGATTCAAATGAAAGTGGCCAGGGATGTAGGCCATCCCCTCAATCAGAGACTCAATGTCCTCTTCTGTGCTGTCCTCCATTGTCTCCCACACGTATACTGACAATGCCTAAGACAACTTAGCAACTTATTAGTGGGACAGGAAATACAGGTTTAAAGAGGAGGAGAAATGAGACATAAGGAAAGTTGTGCACATGTGCTTTCTTGCTTCCTGTAACAGGTTTCTCCACCCCAACATTGCAGCTTTTACATTAACTGTGTGCGTTTCAATGGAAAACATGGGCGTTTGCTTCAGTAGTGTAAAGAATGAGTCCTGCTTTTTGAATTTGAGTGACACACCATGGTGTTGTGTCATGTTGGAATTGCCTTTTACCATAAATCAGTGAAACATCGTGCCAGAAAGAACACCATTTTAAATGCTGCCATATATGATAGAAATGCAAAACAGTCCTCTGTGTGTAAGATAACAAAAGGCAAAAGTGTGTGTAAAAGCTATTGTTAATTCACAATTTCCTGGTCTGTGTTTGAGTGAACAACATGATGATTGAATTTTCATTTTTGGTGAACTATCCCTTTAATGTCTAAAGTCACCCTGGTTGTTCTGAAAGTGTGCTTTTCTTTGAACATAAAAAAGAAGTTCAGCAGAATGGCTTAGCTGCTCTTTTCCATATAATGAAAATAAATGGGGACCAGGAGTGGTGCCATATTAATAATAAATATTCCATTATCAATAAATTGGATTGGAAAATATTTATTTAATGACAAACATAAACTGTGTATTACGTTACTGATACTTTCAATTATAGATTTATTTATTAATATGTCACCTTGGGTATACGATGACAGAATTCAAATTTTGGGATCAACTATGCTATTTTAAAAGCGTTTATATATCTAAAAATATTACAGTTATACAAAATAATTATCTTGATCGTTTCAAACAACACATTTCTACATAAAAGTCAGTTCATTATTTTCATTAGGTGCAATTTCCATTATGACCACTAGAATGAATCCTTTCACTAAATATAAAGTACATGCATGCTTAGAGACAACAGTGACATGCACACTGCACAGGAATCTTTTGTTTCATTAAGCAATTCAGACATGAAGTGGCAGGCTGGGGAAACAAATGTATCAGTGATGCTCATCATCACTGTGAAAAATATCTTCAAAGTCACTACACACAAGCAGAGTGATAGCCTATGTATATTATGAATGTATTATGCATGTAGATCTTATTTTTTTGTATATTTTTTTATATTTCCATAAACTATCTGGCTGGCTAAATGTCAATCTCATGACAAGAGCAGCCTACCTCAAAGTACCGTCAATTACGCTCCCATTTTAAAATAAAAGCATGAACAGTCACTGTGGCATTTTTTGGTTACCTCAGACTAGAAATATGGGTCTGTTGTGGGTGTGTGAGGTTATTCTCCTCACGTTCCTGTTCTGTTTTCGTCCCTAATGACTATAACAGAGGGGAGATCCTCATCGTGCAGCTAGCAGATGTTTAATGATGTCATCTTTATTTGCTCCTGGCTCCAAGAGAACTTTAGTGACACAAGACATAATAAGGACTCAAATTGTCTATAAATTTGTAGGCCTATTTTTCTTTCTATTTGTAACTACAAAACAAACCAGGAATACCAGCCATGAGGTAATATGTGGTTACAGACCACAGAAGTTTTTTTTCACTGGAATGGAAATAAAGTGTCAACTCACCATTTACTGTGCCGACTTACGGTTGGCAAGATTACGAATAGGATTTTAGTGGAAACATTAAATATCACTCTGATATGGGTTTAGCAGACAGTGGTGCTAGATATTCAACAGGTCCAGTCTCGTCAAAATAATCATTCTGCATATAGTCTATTTTATTTGAGACTATTTTGTTTAAGAATGGTTCAGTCTCTTAAAAGACTATATATGAAGAGTTCAGTTGCAAAAGCCTCTAAGTGCCATTTGAAATTTTCTTCTAGAATGATCATTTTTATCAAGCTTGTATATTTAAGTTCAGTGATTTCACTTAAATGGCAATGATAATTACCTATTAATTGTTATTTAAGTGAAATTACTGAACTTAAATATACAAGTTTGAAAAAAATCATCATTAAAGAAGAAAATTTCAAATGGCATTTAGAGACTTTTGCATCTGAACTCTTCATATATATATATAGGCCTATATATATATATATATATATAGGCCTATATATATATAGGCCTATATATATATATATATATATATATATATATATAGTCAGACTCAGAAGAGAGAAAGATTTAATATTTTTTATTTGAGAAACACCCTCACAGCAGCATTAACTTTTTTTGTAATTTGTTGCAAAGGTAATATAACAGTGTGTGTTAAAAATGTATATAGCCACAATTAGTATTGTAATTATTTGAGAAGTTGCTTTTAATTCTACTCATTAGGCCTACTTCTACTTTTATTATTATTACCATTAGCTGCTTTAGTAGTGGTTAATTACAATAGCATCTGATAGGTATTAGGTATCACATGGTCTTTGTTGTATAGAGTAGGCCTATTTCCAATCTAACTTGTGGGAGTGAATTGACGGTCGCGTTTAGTCCATTATTTACGGCAGTGAACTTCTGCGCTCTGCTCGCTGTCATGCAGGTGGAATTCAGTCCAACCGAGTGATTCAGTCAACATCAGGACAGACATCCAGTTTGAAGAGAGCTTCTGTCCAACCCTGACTTCATCTCCGAGCATCACATACACAGTTTACCTCAACACAGACATGGCATCATCAGCACGACCGAGGGATTTGAACAGCAAGCAGATCGGATGCATTTAAACGACGAATCTTCAGAGAGACTCGCATGATGCTCAGGTTGTCTGTCTTTCCCACGGATATAGGCTGCGTTTGGGAAAGAAAACAGTCGTGTGAATGTTTAGAATATTAATAAGGTATGTCACTCTCACGTATTATGCATTTAGCTCAGTTGCTTTGTGGCGTGTTTTTTTAACCATAAGCCTATTTCAGCAATAATATATGACTGCCATATGGTTACAAATAATGATATGGTAGCCTATTGCATAATGTTTTTATGTCTATATCGGTTGGTGTAAATAGTCTAGCAATAACCTATTTCCCCTTTTCCTCTTTTCTAGTAGATCCTTTAATCATGGAGGAGAGCAATACCTGTGAGTCAGTCCCAGATTTAAAGGATCTGGAGTTAAAAGTGGGGAGAAAGACCCCAGAGGGTCTCCTGAAGTGGATGAGAGAGGACCACAAAATGACCTCTCATCATCAGACAGACAATAATGAGACAGAGAAGAAAGGACTGGATGAGAAGATCCGAAAACTTAAAATGGAGATGGTAAGATCTACATGTCTATTCTCCAATAAACTAGTTTTAGTTATTTAAATCCAAACTATTCGTATGGTTATTCATTTATAAACTTTTTGATAAGTGTCCCTCTCTTTTGTACTCTTCATCTTAAGAATTCACAAAAAAATACTATACAATGAATGGAGAGTGTGACAACAGTCAGAAGAATGTGTACAATGTGCAAGTTTTATAAATGTATGTGGATGACACTCATAGCAGATGTGCAACTTGAAGAGGTGAATTTATTTTCTCTTTATGGAACATAAAGCCTCTGGCTTCCCAGATTCCTTTTTTTCTGGGTTTGTCACATAACCAATATCCATATACAAATTCCAGTGTAAATCTCTTTTATACTGACTATGATTGTATCTTTTCATAACACAACTCCCAAGAAGAAGCCTGCAGCATGCTGTTGTTGTTGGTTTCTCATTTTGAAGGGTCCCAACCCACATTCCACTAACCAAATCAACCAGAAGCAAAAGTATTTCTTACAGCATTGCCAAACAGTAAATTGAGCACTGAAACATGACCCTAAAACTGTCATACTGGGCAATGGTGTTTTTAATGGGCAGATGTATTGCTTGCAACCACATAGGCTATCTTTGATGATGATGATGAAGTGAAGGACTTGGTTGAGTTGTGGTAGAAGATGTATTGCTGTTTTTAATGTTCATGCTTCATACTGTAACTTCAAGCCATTGGGCTAGAGACACACTCGGTTGTATAAAGAATTGTTGTAGTTAGGGAAATGAGCTTGTTCCCCAGTGGAATGCAGAGCCATTAAGCAAATGGACCCTGATGTTGTTGCTGTGGTGCTCTTTACTGAGTGGGAGACTTTGTAAAAGGCCCCAAAGCGGTCATGGGTTATGCTACTGCCAGTTGTATTTCTGATTTTTGGAAGTCAGTGTTATTAATTTGCCATCATGATGATCATTGCCGATAGCTCTGTGATTAAGACATCTTAACATGCCAGTGATTTTCCGCATGGAAAAGGTAATGATACTAAAGGTGTCTTGACAGCTTTGTGCAATTTTGTATTAATTTATACAAAATATTATATTTATGTATTAATAAATCAAGTAATTGTACTCTTATTTTGTGTATAACATCTAGAAATACAAAGTTCTGTTATGAAACTCTAGATGCCGATAGGTTGCAGACTGATAGATTTAAGTTCACCCAAAAATGAAAATTCTGTCAGTATTTACTCACCCTCATATTGTTTCAACCCCTTAAGACTTTCGTTCATATTCGGAACACAAATTAAGATATTTTTGATTAAATCTGAGAGCTGGATCACTCCTCCATAGGCCTTTTAAGGGATCGAACCTGGCCCAAAAGTTATGAAAGACATTGTTAAAATAGTCCGAGTGACTAGAGTGGCTCAATCTTAAGTTTATCGAGTGACAAGAATACTTTTTGTGCGCAAAAAACAAACAAAAATAATGACTTTATTTAACTATTAATTTCTTTCTCTGTGGGCTTTGAGATTTCATATAGTGATGTTGCGCAAAGCTTCTGCATTGCATGTGACATGTCACACGTTTGGCCGACGCTGGTCTGCGTGTGACGTACAACTACAAGCTTTGCGTAGTTTCACTATATGTGAAATCTCGAGACTAACAGAGAAGGAAATGAATAGTTCAATAAAGTCGTTATTTTTGTTTGTCTTTTTGTGTATAAAAAGTATTCTTGTCGCCTGATACACTTGAGATTGAGCCACTATAGTCACTCGGACTATTTTAATGATGTCCTTCATAACTTTAAAGTCTTACTGGGTTGGAACAACATGAGGGTGAGTATTTACTGACAGAATTTTCATTTTGGAGTGAACTATCCCTTTAACGCAATCTGCTAGCAATCACATCATTCGCACAGCTGATTGGTTCCTACTGTATCAGTAGCCAATGAGCTCACTGCTCTATCTTCTAATACTTGTTCAGCATTTACTGCAGCAGTGCAGTGCACTTTCATAAACCCTGCCTAGTGCCTATACACCTTCCCCAGCTCCACCTGTATAGATCTGCTATGGGTAATTAATGCTCATAAATCATGACATTAAACAATTTACTAAACCAAACTTTTGAACAGTAGTGTATTTATTCTATTGACAGCCCTGTTTATTTAACAGTTAGACATAAAAACCAAACATGCCTAATACTGTATTTTTGTCTAATCTTATACATAGGTCTTTATTCGTACATGATAATTTTATATATATATATATATATATATATATATATATATATATATTACCGGTCAAAAGTTTTAGATCGGTTAGATTTTTTATGTTTTTAAAAGAAGTCTCTTCCGCTCACCAAGGATGCAATTATTTGATAAAAAAAATAAAATAAATAAAAAACAGTAATATTGTGAAATATTATTACAATTTAAAACAGTGGTTTTCTATGTGAATATATAGTGAAGTGTAATTTATTCCTGTGATCTGAATTTACAGCATCATTACTCCAGTCTTTGGTGTCACATGATCCTACAGAAATTATTTTAATATGATGCTCAAGAAACATTTATGATTATTATCCATGTTGAAAACAGTTTTTTTTTACATTTTTATTTCAGGATTCTTTGATGAAAAGAGAATTCAAAAGAACAGAATTGATCTGAAATGAAAAGCTTTTGTAACATTAATCACTACCATTCAAAAGTTTGGGATCAGTATTTTTATTTTTTGGGGAAAGAAATTAGAAAATACTTTTATTCATCAAGGATGAGTTAAATTGATCAAAAGTTACAGTAAAGACATTTATTTTTTAATATAAAAGATTATATTTTAAATAAATGCTGTTCTTTTGAACTTTTTCTATTCATCATAGAATTTTGGGAGGGGGGGGGGAATCGTACACGACTGTTTTCAACGTTGAAAATAATAATTTATGTTTTTTGAGCATAATATCAGCATAGAATGATTTCTGAAGGATCATGTGACACTGAAAACTGATGTAATTATGTTGAAAATTCAGCTTTCAAATTACATTTTAAAATATATTAAAATAGAAAACATTCATTTTAAATTGTCATAATATTTCATAATATTACTGTTTGTCATTTTTTTCATCAAATAAAGTAGCCTTGGTGAGCAGAAGATACTTCATTTAAAAACATAAAAAATCATACTGATTTAAAACTTTTGACTGGTAGTGTGTATATATATAAAGGTTCTAAGGAGAAATGTCTTAAATGATTGCATAATGCTTTCATGGTTATTTTGGTGATTTTAAATTTGTTTTATTGATAAAGCATGTTTATGAGCTGTTTAATTCGTAAATAAATAATTAGAACTAAATTCATAAAATGATCCCACGATAGGAACCCCTAAAAGGTTTTATATATGAAGTGTCTGACCGAACCCTTCAGGTTCTAGAACCTTTTCTTCCAAGAACGAAAGTAAATTGGGTGTTTTGGAATTGATATAGAGTTTTATGTAGAGTTTTATTGCTCACCTGATGCCATTTTACACTGTTCCCAAATAGTCATGAGAAAAAGCAAGACAACAGTCATTGAATTTTACCTTACACTCTGACATTTTCACCCGGAATAATAATAGTCTATTGACACACACACACACACACACACACACACACACACACACACTGGTTTCCATGTTTTATTGGGACTTCCCATAGACGTAATAATTTGTATTCAGTACAGTGCAAACTGTATATTCGACCCCATTACACTAACCCTACCCCTAAAACCACCCATCACAGAGAGAAATTCTGCATTTTTAGAATTTCAAAACACTTAATATTAGTAACACTTAGTATAAAGACTTATTGAATAAAATGTACACAAAAAATGACAAAACTTACATATCAATATACTATGATAAAAGAATCACGTTTGACTTTAAAACAGTGGAATTAAGTGTGCAATCAAACAGCTTGTTATTTATGTCTTTGATCTGCGTGAAGAAAGAGCGAGAGAGGGGTGTCCTCGATGACTTTCAGCAACTCTCTCTCCCTGCCTGACACACAGATGGGAAACACAGGGGGAAGCTGTGCTGACAGATGGAGGAAAGGGAGATGGCTCTACCAGCCTGATGGAACGAGAGGAGGGAGGAAATGAGGGAGGAGAAGCAGTAAGGTTTAAAGGGAGAGTGGGAGAGCGTAGAGGTGAGGAAGGAATGCAGAGAGATAGAGTGCACGTGTCATGCTAGATGAGAGACACAGCGGTGATGTATTGAAATATAAGAGATGCTGTTAATCATGTCAGAGCTGCAGTGTGTCAGGAGGAGCAAAAGACAGCTGTAGTTAAATGAGTTCAGAAAGAGTGTAAACTGTGATGCCCCTGAAATAGTTAGCTGTCTCATTACGCACTACCGCTCAAACATTTGGGGTCAGTACGTTTTTTATTCAGCAAGAATGCATGAAATTGATCAAATTTGACAGTAAACGCATGTTTAATGTTATAAAAAGATATATCTTTCTAATAAATGTCACAAAAATATTAAGCAGCACACCCTCTCTGACATTGATAATAATCCATAATGATGCTGCTTTAACGTCACAGGAATATATATATATATATATATATTTTTATAAATTAAAGGTAGTTATCCCAAAAATGAAAACGGTTAAAAATATATATTTTAAACAACATTGTTAAGAAGTTGATGGCACCCAGTTCACGGTAGCCATTGACTTCCATAGTAGGGGGAAGAAGAAAAAAACACTTTGGAAGTCAATGCCTACTTTTTGATTACCAACATTCTTTTAAATATTTTCTTTTATTTTCAAAATAAAATCGAAATGTAAGTAATGACAGAATATAAATTTTTGGGTAAACTGTCCCTTTAAAATAGAATACAGTAATTTTAAATTGTAAAAATAGTTCACAATATGACTGTATTTATTATATTTGTGTTTAAATAAATGCAGATGAGCATAAGAGAATTCTTTGAAAATTTTTTTTTAAATCTTACAGACCCCAAACTTTTGAACGGTAGCGTCTGAAATATATTCACTCAC